AAAAAAAAAAAAGAAGAAGACAGCGGGGTGAAAGGAGGCGAGGAAGGTGAAGAAGAAGAAGAGGGTTGGCGAGGAAGACGAGCCGACAGCCATAGCTGATCGGAGGGTTGACCAAGAGGGTTGACCAAGAGGGTTGACCGGAGGTGTTGACCAGCGACTACCAGAGTTGACCGGGGGTCATAGCAGCATTGATCAGCGTTGACCAAGGCGTTGACCAAGACTTTGACCAAGTTGGAGTTGGTAACATCTCGCCAAGCCCTCAGCTTATCCCTTGCCCTGTGGATGTGCACACACCCCTTGGTACTCGCTGAGTCAAGTCAGTCTGTCTATCTTTCTACATTGAGTCTCTTCTGTCCTAGGTGATAGTACTCTGTGGATGAAGGATAGAGCCTGCTGACCACTCCCCTACCGTGCTAGTAGGGCTGAGACTGTGGCTGATCCAACTTTCCAGGGGGGGCATAATCCTCCCAAGGACCGGTGCTGACTGGTTGGAAACGGTTGGTAGGGCACAGTGGGCCTGAAAGACTGAGTTGCGGGCTGAAACACAGGCAGCCTTTAATTGTTGAGGGCCTGTTTGAACCACTCCCCTACCGGACCAAGTAAGGCTGAGGATCTGTGTCTGACGACTCGACTGTCCAGGGGGATACGAACCCTCCCAAGGACCGGTACAGACCGGCGGGCTGCACGGTGTGGCACAGTAGGCCGGAAAGGCTGAGTTGTGGGTTGAAAGCACAGGCAGAACCAAGCTGATCAYGTCGTCCTGTCTGCGACGTTAAAGAATTCTTGCGGAGTTACGGGGGATCTCCTTAAATGCCTTCAGATCAGCCACTGGTTCAGTAGTGACAGCCATAGCATAGGTCTAGGCTAGAGACCATAGTTGACAGGGTCCTTGTCAGGACTCTGTGAGTTCTTAGATTGAGTCTATAGGTTTGTCAGTCAGGGGTCAGAAGTCTACGTGGTGAGGTCTGGAACCACTAACCCGGTTGTACACTTGTCACCATGGTTGAGACCCGTAGTGGGTTAGACACGAGCCCCTATAGCAAGGAGCAACAAGAAAAGATGGCCGCCTTAGTCAAAGAGAATAGGGAGAGGAAAGAACGTGAGAAGCAAGCGAAGCTAAAGGCTATCGCAAACGAGCGGGCGGCGAAGATGAAGGAAGTGGAGGAGGAGATGAAGAAAAAGGAGAAGGCTGCTGAAGAAGAAGTGGCAGCAGAGGAAGAAAAAGAAAGAATGAGGATTGAGAGCAGAGAGGGGAGTAGTGGCACGAAGAAGGACACAGACGCTAAGATTGAGAAGAAAATCAGCGAGTGGGTTGCTAACTTATCGTTGGGAGAAGATGAAGAGGCGGAGTCATATGTGACTGAAGATGAGAAGGCCGCATTGGCCGCTGAGCTAGCAGCCATGACGGATCCTATGGAACGAAGAGAGGGAAGACGAGCAGAAGTTGCAATGGAAGTTGAGAATGAAGAGGGAGAAGAGGAGGAGGAGAGAAGAAGTGAATAAGATGACCGCAGCAGTGGCAAAGGTGCAGGAGTGTAGAGTGGAGGTGTTGGCCGAGCAAGATGAAAAGGCCAAGTGGGATAAGGTACTAGGCTACCTAGAGGTATTAACCAAGGCCTGGATGGAGGAGCGTCAGGCAAGTTGGAGCCAGGATGTAGCCTTGAGTGCGATGCGGTCCGGATTTAGGGAGTTTGCGCGCGAGATCGTCACCCATATTGGGGGCGAAGTAAAGCAGTTGAGAGATAACATAGGCCAGTTTTGTGAGGGTGCCATCGAGGGTGCCAAAGCCATAGCCGCAGTAGAGGGCGAGACCAGACCTCGCAAAGACCCAGTAAAGCTCAAGTTCCCAGATACTTATGGAGGGAAGAAGGAGGAGAACTTTGACAACTGGGAAGCCAGTGTCAACAATTATATTTATCTACAGCACATCTTGATAGAGGAGCAAGTCCTTGTGGCCTTCAAGGCCCTGAAGGACGATGTGGCTAGTTTCGCTAGATCCCTTGCGCGCGTGGCCGGTTGCGAAAACAACCTGGTCGCCTACTCCAAAGTCACCCCCCTCTCTCAGTTCCTTAAGCTCTTGAAGGAGCGGTTTGCTGACCCAACGAAAGGCGTCAAAGCCTCAGACAAATTACAGACAATCCACTCACAACAGTGGAGGAGTGCAAGGGCACTCAAGGGTACCATGGACGATTTGGTAGTCGTCCCGGACCATGGGGTCACTGAAACCCAGTTGGTCCAGTTGTTTTATCGTGCCATGCCAGAGGCCCTACGTGGGCACTTCTTTGACAAATCTCAACAGGTCGGGATCACATATGATGTGTTGAGTAGGGAGGTGATCCTATATGAGTCAAAGTCTATGCCAGTCATCACTTTCTGGCATGAGGACTTAGAGAAGGGGAAGAAGTGGAAGGATCATACCATCTCAGGCCAAGTCAAGGCCAAGGATCACTTGATCCTGACGTTAGAGGAAGGTGGTACCGACAAGGTCCCGTATGATCAGATTGAGTGGGGCCTAGGGGAGGAGGACAGTAGTGTAGGGCAGGGGAGGTCTTACGCTGTTGTCGCAGCCGGAGGGAGGCCGCAAGGTAGAGGAGGAGGCCAGCGCCAAAGGGGCCAGGCCATGGGAGGCCGAGGACCGGGCGCACAGGGGGTTGGCGGCCAAGGAAACCGCCAAGTGGGAGGTAGGGGTCAAGGTCCCCCGCCAAATCGCCAGGGTAATCGGTCCCCATAGCATAGAGGTGGAAGGGCACCTCAAGGAGGATGGCACCCAGGCTTGCCACAGGGCAGGTCTTGGGAAGATTTAGGCTTGGACCAACGATTATGGCAGGAACGCGTGGACAGGGGCCAGTGCGTCTTCTGTGGTGACCCGGCCCACGTTATTTAATATTGTCCTAAGTATAGACAGGCCCGTTGGGCTGCCCAACAATCAAAAGGCAGCCGCCAGTAGGGGTTGCAACTGCCCCTACTTCAAGGCCATGTGGAGAAGTGAGTGCGCGCGAACAGAACACTCCCAACCCACATGAGCCTATGGCAGAAGTTGCAGGCCCGTGCCTAGCTAGTTGTCCAGAGACCGCCTGTATTTGCGTCTCTTTAGGCACGTCCCTCACAGGCGTGGCAAAAGAGTTAAAGGAGAGAATGCCAGCCTGGGCCAAGATGAAGAAAGAGAGTAAAGGACAACTGATCTTGATAGACATAGAAGTGTTTAGAAGTAGAGTAGGGGCCCTCATAGACTCAGGGGCTAACCGTAGTTACATCAGCTGTAGGGCGCTGAAGAAGTTGAGGCTGGGACTAAAAGTCCAGAAATTGGCAGACCCCATAGTCAGTGTCCTCGCAGACAACCGCACGATGCGAGTTGAGGACTATGTAGAGGGAGTCCAGGCATACTTCCGCCTAGAGAAGGATGGGAAGGTGGAGAAAGTTCTCCATTCCGTGACTCTCCTTGTACAGGATGACCTTCCGTTCGATGTAGTGTTAGGAATGGATTGGGGAGAGGCAGCMGGGGCCACGCTCCAGTTGAGAGAGCATGAGTGTAGGCTCCCTAGTCCGTCAGGCGAGGTTAAGACTACCCGCTTGTTTCATGTGTCAGGTGTAGACAACACCTTGGCACATTGCTGTCTCAGTGCCCCCGCGTTCGTGCGACTAATGAGAAAGGAGCAATTAGAGGAGCAGGTCTTTGTAGTGTATGTTAGACCTGTCACCGAGGGCAAGGAAGAGGTAGCTTCCACGGATCCAACCACAGCCAAGCTGCTGGAAGAGTTCAAAGACTTGACTGAGTCACCGACAGGGGTAGTGTCGCGACCCATCCAACACCGGATAGAGATAGAGTCTGGCAGTAGAACTCCTAAGGGTGCAGTCTACAGGATGTCCCCTAGAGAATTAGAGGAGCTTCGCAAGCAATTAGACGAGCTCCTTGAAAAAGGTTGGATCAGGCCCAGTTCGTCTCCTTTTGGAGCACCCGTTTTGTTTGTCCCCAAGAAGGAAGGAGAGCTGAGAATGTGTAAAGACTATAGGGGTTTGAATGCGATTACTTTGAAGAATGCTGAGCCGCTGTCCAGGATAGACGATCTTTTAGATCGGTGCAGGGTTGTAAGTATTTCACAAAGATAGACCTGAAGTCCGGTTATCATCAGATAGAGGTCCATCCAGATGATTAGTATAAGACCGTATTCCGAACTAGGTACGGGCATTATGAGTTCATAGTGATGCCCTTTGGACTGACCAACGCGCAAGCTACATTTCAGCGTTGCATGAATGATTTGTTTAGACCCTGGTTGGATAGATTTGTCGTTGTCTATTTAGATGATATCTTGATTTTTAGTAAGACCCTCCAAGAACATCAAGGTCATCTCATGCAGGTCTTGGAGAAGCTTCGAGAGGCTAACTTCAAGATCAACGCAAAGAAGTGCAAGTGGGCCAAGACACAAGTCTTGTTCTTGGGCCACATATTAGACGGAAATGGCATTAGGCCAGAGGACAGTAAGATTGCGGCGATTAGAGATTGGCCGACGCCCCTCACATTGATAGAGTTGCGGTCGTTCTTAGGCCTAGCTAACTACTACAGGAAGTTTGTAAGGAACTTCTCCACTATCGCTGCTCCCTTGTGCAGGTTGTTGAAGAAATGGGGCAATCTGGCAATGGGACAAAGACTGTACGTCTGCGCTCAAGAAGTTAAAGCGCGCGTTAATAGAGTATCATGTCCTCAAAGTTGCAGATCCGTCTTTGCCATTTGTCATCACTACGGACGCGAGTCAGTATGGGATAGGCGCCGTGTTGCAGCAAGATGACGGCAATGGCTATAGACCCGTAGAGTTCATGTCAGCGAGGATGCCCTGTGAGAAGGTCGCTACCTCCACGTACGAGAGAGAACTCTACGCTCTCATTCAGGCTTTAGACCATTGGAAGCACTACCTGCTTGGGAGGCACTTCAAAGTGTATTCGGACCATGAAATGCTTAGATGGTTAAAGACTCAAGCCAAGATGACACCTAAGTTGACTAGGTGGGCCGCAGAGATAGACCAATTCGACTTTGCGCTCAAGCCAGTGAAGGGCAAGTACAACGTAGTTGCGGATGCCCTGAGTAGGAGATCAGACTACTTTGGAGCCGTAATACACTATCTGGACATAGGGAGAGACCTGCAAGAGAAAGTGAAGCAAGCGTATGCACAGGACTCTATCTATAGCGACCTCCTAAAGAGAGTTAGAGAGGCCCCAGAGACTGAACCAGATTACCGCACTACAGATGGGTTGTTGTTTGAGAAGACTAATGTGTTTGACCGCCTGTGCCCAACAACGAGGAGATTCGCAATCTAATCTTAGGGGAATGCCACGATACTGAGGGACATTTCGGTTGGCAAAAGATATTAGCCAATCTTATGCGCGCGTATACCTGGCCAGGAATGAAGAATGACTGCATAGAGTATGTCCGCAGTTGTAAAGTATGCCAGCGTAACAAGACTACTACACGCGCACCCCTTGGTCTTCTCAGACCCTTGCCTATTCCGGACCAGCCGGGAGACTCAGTGTCCATAGACTTCATGGACACCCAAGTCAAGAGCAGACATGGTAAAAGCCAAGTCATGGTCGTAGTTGACCGCTTTAGTAAATACGCAGTTTTTGTTCCTTTGCCCTTAGTTTCAGGCTGAAAATGGCCCTCAGTTTGAGGCTGAAAAGACTCAGGGGCAGAAAGGCCCTGATTTAGGCTGAAACGCAACAGGACCTGTAGGCCCTTGTTTTCAAGTTTTCAGGCTGAAACAACATGGGGCGTGTAGGCCCTTGTTTTCAGGCTTTCGGACTGAAAACGTCACGGGCCTAAGAGTGGCCCATGCAGCCTGTTACAGGCACAGCATGTAACACCCCCCCCTCCTTATGAAGTCAAGCCGGGTCGAGGGCGAAGACTCAAAGGGGGAACCTGGATGCGGGTGAGACGTGGAGCTGAAGATACTGGCTTGCCTGGCATCTTGTGTTCGTAGCGTGCAAGAACATCCGGAGCTGATGCGTGAGTGCAGTACGCAAACTTTACTAAGTACTTGGTTCGCCTGTTGCCGTAGCGTCGCTGGGAGATGATGTCGCCGACCTCTTGAAAACCATCCATAGAGGGTGGGTCTTGCGATCGTCGTCCGGGAAAATCGTCATGTTCCATTGGCGTGTAAAAAGCCAACTTGGAGCAATGAAAGACCGGGTAGACAGGCAAGTGGGCGGGCACCTGGATGGTGAAAGAAGGTCCTTCGGGTGCATCCCCAGCAGGTGCCACGATCAGCCAGGGCCCCATCCATTTCGGGAGGAGCTTGCGAGAGATATCATGTTCAAGGCTGAATTCCGCGGTGGAAACCCAAATGAAATCGCTAGTGCGGAATAGGCAAGGAAGACTCTGGCGATTGGTCTGTTGGCTCATGCGTTGCTGCGTCCTAGCCATCTCGTCGCATGCCTTGACAAGTAGCTCTTGCATCCGAGCCAAGAAAAAAAGATGGTCGTTGCTCTCGACCGTCCGTGGAATGATTGTGTCCAACGGAGAAGTGACCGGCGAGCTGTGCTCGAACTCGAAGGGCGACATCTCGATAGCCGGGTGGATGGACGAGTTGTATGCCAACTCCACATCCGGCAGTCGCTCAACCCAATCCTTTTGGTCGGGACAGATGAGAGTGCGAAGGAGAACCTGTGCGGTCTGATGCGCCCTTTTCGTTTGGCCATCGGTTTGGGGGTGGCGAGCCGAAATTGGCTTCAGAGATGAGCCCCATGGTTTGATGAGCGCCAACCAAAAATCAGACATGAACCGAGTGTCGCGGTCGCAAACGATTTCCTTGGGGTAACCCTTGGTTCGAATCCAACCGGCTTAAAGAACCTCGGCCAACTCCGGTGCCTTGGCATGATAGCAACAAGGCAAAAACATGGCGAACTTGGTGAGTTGGTCGACCACTGTGAGAATCCCATCCACACCGGTCTGGTGCTTCGGGAAAGGTCCGGTAATGTCCATGGCAATCGCTTCCCTTCGGCGCAAGGGGACCGGTAATGGTCGCAACTCGCCGTACGGACGCTGGTTGCGGGATTTGCAGTGTCGGCAAACCTCGCATGACTCGCAATAGCGTGTGACGTCGTCGAGAAGGCCCGAGTCGCCCGACCACCAAAATTGCTCGCGATGTCGGCCAATCGTGCGAATGACTCCAGTGTCTGGTGGCGGGAGCATCGTTGAACTCGCCAAGAAGCCGTGTACGCAAGTAAGAGTCTTCACCCGGTACCCAAAGAAGGTCCTTCCCCCGAATGTGACCAAGCAAGTACCCCTCTTGGATCCGGTAGTGAGATGGCGCCGGATTAGGAGAGGAGCAATTGGCGTACTTGTCGCGAAACTCGGGGTCGGATTGGTAGCCGCGGATGAAACTGTCCTGCAGGTCATCGCCGATCTCGAAGGTCGAATAGATTGCGGCACAATGATTCGGACGCGGTGAAAGAGCATCCGCAAAACGGTTAGACTTCTCGGGAATGTGATCGGGAAAGAAGTCGAACTGGTCGATGAAAGCCATCCATTGTCTTGGGTCTTGTAGAAGACCAATGGATTGTTGTCCGTTACCCATCGGAATTGGCTTCGACAAAGGAGGAAGTGCCACCACCGCGTGAGCGGGTGGACGAAGGCTGGGAGCTTCTTCTTCTTCCGTGCATCATCAATGGAGTGCACGGCGGGCACTTCCTTGCTGAAGTACTTGACCGGGTGCCGGTCCACGCCATCCTGTTGTTTGAGGACGGTGTGGGGGATGGGTTCTCCTACTGTTCGCTGAAGCCAAGGGCCACGGCGCCTGTCACCTCGCCGCGCCCGCTTCAGAGGTCCTCAGCGACTAGTAGGAGGTTGTGAGAGCGATGGGTATACCAGTCCCCACCGCAGATTCAGACTGATCAGTATTTTCCCATCCGGTTGCTTGAAGAAAAACAATTGTCAAAATCAAAATAATTTCTGTAATTTGCAAAAATGACAGAAAAGTTATAGACAACTTCTAGAGGGGGAGTCTTTTCACATACTCGGAAGCTGAGAACAACACGCAACGGAAAAGTCTTTTCGCATGNGTTGTGGGGGTTGGGGGCTCCTACTGTTCGCTGAAGCCAAGGGCCACGGCGCCTGTCACCTCGCCGCGCCCGCTTCAGAGGTCCTCAGCGACTAGTAGGGGGTTGTGAGAGCGATGGGTATACCAGTCCCCACCGCAGATTCAGACTGATCAGTATTTTCCCATCCGGTTGCTTGAAGAAAAACAATTGTCAAAATCAAAATAATTTCTGTAATTTGCAAAAATGACAGAAAAGTTATGGACAACTTCTAGAGGGGGAGTCTTTTCACACACTCGGAAGCTGAGAACAGCATGCAACGAAAAAGTCTTTTCGCATGCTCAAAAGATGGAGACGAACAAGTTTTGAATGAAGTGTTGAACTTCAAGTAATCTTGCGCTCAACCTCCCTGTTTTGTTCATTTATTCAGATACGAATCCAAGTCTCCCACCCTACCCCATTTTTCTACTCCCTCCTTCCTCGCTCTCTTTCATTCTCTTTCACTTTCCCTCTCTTCACTCTCTCTCTTCTTTGTCTAAACTGTTTCTTTCCCTCTTTCTTCCTCACCCCGCAGACACTCGCGAAAAGAGCTAATCTATCCCCCCTTCTTACCAAGTCAGTCCATATGGAATATATGCGTAAATTTATTTATATAAAAAAAAACATAAATAAACGCAAAAAAAAACTCTCTCTCAGGCCGTAGCGYGCGTTTCCACTCCTACCCTTGTTTCTGTTGGTCCTTCCCTTCTCACCAGATCAAACTCTTGACGGAGCTCTCACGTGCTGGTTCTTTGAGGACTCGTCCATGTGTTGTCCATCATCGGGCTAGTAACACAGACCTGTTCAATCAGCAGCTAGTAAGGAAGTCTGTCTCTTCCTCCAAAGGTCCCAGATCAATAGTAGGGGTGATTACCCTTCACGACAGCGGGAAACGGCCAGAAAAAAAAATGCTTTGCTCAGTYAACAGTCRGTATAGCCGACCGTCTCTTCCGCCATAGTGGTTTTTCACGTTACGGCGAGATAAGTATACTTGTTCCTATCAGTAGCGAGGTAAGTGTGATCGTTCCTGTCGACAGCGAGATAAGCACACTTGGTCCTATCAACAGCGAGATAAGTACACTTGGTCCTACCAACAGCGAGATAAGTACACTTGGTCCCGTCAACAGCGAGATAAGTACACTTGGTCCCGTCAACAGCAAGATAAGTACAGTCCCGTCAACAGCGGGAGTGAGTGATCTTCTCTTCATCAAAAAATAAGACGTCTCACCAATGACGAAGTTTTAGCTCATTTGTCTGTGAACGAGTGTCGCTCACCAGTCCGGTTAGATGGGGCTTCGCGCCTCTGGCGCGACAACCAGTACACCACTCTATCTRCCCAGCACAAATTTTCTCTCTCACCCACAKCTCCTCTCGCCCACCATTATGCTATTGTCCGCCGCCCGTTCGGCATGCTTGAGGTGAGCCTCTGAGGTGACTGCGYGCACCTCCGCACCTCCCTGTCTGCTCTTCTCGAATCTCCTCCTTCCTCTTGCCGATCACTCAAACCCCCTTTGTGAACCGTGAACGCCCATCCGGTGACGGCGCGTCCTGTGATCTCTTCTTGCCTATTTGCTGCCTCTCTTTCTTACGCCTGTCCATTTTCTGATCCGAGAGCTCACTCAAAGCATCAGTCCACACTCTCTGTAGTCAGTAGAACTTGCCTATTCGCCCTTTCTCTCTTGCTAAGACTCTCTTCCTTTCCCTTCCTCTCTCTTTTTTCCCTCGTAATCCCTTGCTTTTTCAGCTCGACCTCATTCAAGTTCACAACTATCTCATCACAACTCGGCTGGCTCCTTCTCCGATGGACGCGGTCACGCGGAGGATCATATGCATTAACAACTAAATAAAGAGTGACTGGGCGCCCACTTTGTTCTGCCTAACGGGCTTTCCCCCCACATCACCGMACTTGSCCARCAAACTGCTCGAAGACACTCGAAGGTTCGTTTTCGAGTAGCGGTGAACATAATATTGCTAAATATTATCTTATTATTAGATTGTTTCTTACGGAAGCACACTGGCCGTCCGTGGAGTTGRCTCACTTTCTCGCCTATTCCGACTGGGTCTCTTTTTGTCTCCCTCTGCAGTCTGGTCTCTCTTTCTCTCTCCCTCTGCAGTCTGG